TTGGGCCATGGTTCATCAAAAATAAATGGTTGTTTTTGTGTTTTGTATTTTTTTACACTGCAGCGTGGCACCGAGCTCAACCCTTTCTAAACAACACACACAGTCGAGGATGAGTGCAGAGAGACAGGATGTCACAGACACATTTGTGACAAACAACACATTCATTCACAGTGCTCATTTCAAGCAGGATGATTATGTTTCTGGCTGCCAATATGATGAAACGGATGTCAAAGCCAGGAGTGTGTGAGCCTGATGTGTTTGTGATGTCCGTCAGTTTACGAGGTTTCCTTCTTACTTCATGAACAGCAGCGGCTCATGCTTCTCCAGGGACCAACAGGGTCAACGGTTTCAGCTCATAGGAGGCCTCATGTATGCAGGCTAAAGTAAATAATCCCTATAATTTACATTTCAAAATTACAATAATGTGAATGCTGATAAGCCTGTTGTGATAAACAATAAATCAATTAATCACATGATATATGGAAATTATCAACCTCATTTTCATTTATCGGCTTTATCGTTCTTCGTGTCTCTCTCTTTCTACTGAAGACACTGGATGACAAAAAGCTCAACTTCAGCACTCTTCAGTGACCCCTCCCTTTCTCTTTTATCTTTAAAATCCATTTTAACCGTCCAAAATCACATTTTTGCATCGTTAAAAGCAGCTAAGCTGAGAAGCTAAGCTAAAAGACCTACTTCGGGAAAAAAAAAAAACTCCGTCTTGTCAAAGCTCCAAAATTCATAGTTGAAACCCGTGCCTTCGTGTCAAAATTATTTTTTCTCAGCAAAAAGAAGCTGAGAACTTGTTTACTGATTTTTTTATTAAAAGCTTTGTGTGGAAAAATGCTATGTTAAAGAGCGCAAACCACACCGAGCATCCGCCACTTTGAGAACCGAAGCGAGAACAGTCTTATACTGCCATCCGGTGGTCGAAAACAGGTACTACAAGCAAAACAATTTTAACATTTCTTAACTTTGACAATAATTACTAATTATTGTCAAATTTCAAACAATATTATCGTTTATCGCAATAATTTCTGAGACCATTAATTGCCCAGCAAAATTTGTTATCGTGACAGGCCTAGCATTCACACTATTGTTTTCCTGAATAGTTTCTTCTCTTCAATCTTTGCACTCGCACTATTTTAGTTTTAGCTTTTTGTGACTGTTTTGCTCATTTTAGCTTTTAGTAACTCTTTTGCTCGTCTTAGCTTGTTGCTTCTGATCTAATTTTAGCTTTGTGTTCTCAATGAATGTTTCACTTCCTTCTCTTTTAATCTTTCTGCATGTTTCAGCTTCTATTCTGCGTGTTTTAACAAACAGGTCAGTCACTATTAGCTTCTTCAACATGATTCAGGACTTCAGCTTATTAACAGTGCACTTTCTCACAACTTGCTATTTATTCCTACTTCCTGTTTGGACAGCAGACAGAAATAAATAACACTGAGGTGCTTGAAAGTTAGTTAACCCTTTACAATTTTCTATATTTCTGCATCAATATGACCTAAAACATCATCAGATTTTCACACAAGTCCTTAAAGTAGACAAAGAGAACCCAGTTAAACAAATGATACAAAAATATTATACTCAGTTATTTATTTATTGAGGGAAATGATCCAATATTACATATTTGTGAATGGTAAAAGTATGTGAACCTCTAAGATTAGCAGTTAATTGGAAGGGGAAATTAGAGTCAGGTGTTTTCAATCAATGGGATGATGAGCAGGTGTGAGTGGGTACCCGCTCTCCCCCTTATGGTCATTAGAACAAAAATGCAGGTTTAAAGGTTTACAGAGCTGCTCATCCTCAACCTGTGTATGGCACCAACTATTTCATGAAAGGGACAAAATACATTTAATTACAGAAAATAATTGTACTCCACATGTAGAGGTGTGTGGAGATGGCTGGACAACAGAAAAGGAGACATGTTGCTATTTTAGATGAATGAGATGATTTGTCTCTGCACATTAGCCAATTAGCCTCTATGCCATAATTAGACTGAGACTGCAGCAGGGACTGCTTACCATTTACTAAAGACTGATAAGATAGAACTTTATTAATCCCGCAGGAAATTTTTGATTATATGTACTGTTATGTTAGTGGTTTATCTGTTATAGTTGGTATGCCTTGGTTTTTGAGGGTCAGATATAATCATTACCTTTATTAGGAATGCACAATGCCGATACGTTAAAACTTATTTGGCCGATAACCGATACCGATACCAATATTTTCCCCCCTAGACCTACTTACAGAGACTACATAGGTTTCTCTGCTGTGGAATTAAAATACTACATTATTCCACATTTGACCTGCTACCAAATGCAGATGCCAAGAAGGGGGCTGAAAACGATGTAACACTTCAACTTGGATTATGTTTAATGTCAAATTTATTCAAGACATTTATTCTCTCTAACACAACGACAACACTCGAACAGTGCAAATTTGTAAATTTTCACAAATCTAAACTCAACCTGTTCTCAAGCGACAAGTGAAAAGCACATAAGTAGTAGTGCATTAAAATATATACTTGACAGTTTCTTAAATGAAAAATTAACTTAAAACAGAAGCCTTTTATATCGGGGGAGTTATTTTGATGGAATGGTCGATGTCCGATATTTAACTTTATCACTTAATCGGCCGATACGATACAATGCCGATAATATTGTGCATCCCTAACCTTTATATAATAACTAATAAATAATTTAATACACAGTAAAGGTATCTCTTGACCCATGTACATTTGTTGCTGTGAATAAAATAAGCTTATTATGCCTATTTATTGTTGCTAAGGGTGTGACATAATTCAGTTAAAGGCCTTGCAATCCCTGAAGGGATGCTTATCGCCTGCTTATTTACTCTAAGATTATCATGTTGAGATGATGCAGTTGTAGTTGTGGTCAAACATTAAAAATACTATTATGCACAGTTTTAGTCATTACTGTGTTGGCTGGCAACGATTAGCTGTTGAGGTCATCTTTAATTGGTTTGACTCCAAAAGGTAATTGGTTTGACATGTATATTCTGCGATTACTTTCTGAAAGTTTCATTCCTGAACCACTAACAGCACAAATTTTGCTAATTGCATTACGTTTATTGTGGTAAATTTATGTTGCTCAACATTTAATTTGCTGTTGTTTTCCTTTTTAGTTTTTGTGCACAAACTTGTAGCTATTTTTCTTCCTCCAAGGTTGTGTCTCTTGAAAAACAGTCCGGTCTAATAAATCAGAGAAACGGTCGCCTCCCACACCCACATCCACCCCCACCCGAAGCGGGAATAATTTGACTGCTTCAATGTCGGACACACGAGAGAGAAGTTGACGAACGCTTGGATCTGTAAAATATATATTTTTAACTTTTATTAAAGCTTATATATAAAATTGAAGAAATTCTCTCAGAATATATCATGACCGATTCATATAAATGTTCCAGCCGTCTTCTGATTACAAAACCAGTGCTTTAACCGTCAGCTCATCACAGCTGCATACACCTCAGAGCTGATTAAATGGAGAAAATGTCCCGCTTTTTATCTATCCTTCTCATTTTTCTGTTCTGGTTCCTTCAGTCTGCTCCAAATGGATCTGAACATAATATCTCCACAACTCGGAAGGTTTAGCTGCTGTTTGAGCAGCAGTGGTCGTATGCGCTAAAACCAGCCGAGTGTGTGGCAGGACAGAACATCTGATGCCCCAAATGAGACCATTGGGCATGTTCCAATCCGCTTGATGAATGTGGGTCGCTAATAACGGCAAACGAGTGAAAAATCTGAGAACGAATCACTAAAAATCATTTTAAATTCCATTTAAAATTCTCCTTCAGTTATCAGGCTCCTCTCTTGTGGAACCAACTTCCAGTTTCTGTCTTTAAGGCTGACATGTTCATACGACTTTCCTTTTCGATAAATCCTATAGTTAGTCGGTTTGGTTTCCTGACCTATTCCTTATCCTATGCTGCTATAACCTTAGATTACTGGAGAACAAATTGACCTCATTTAATCAAATGAACAGTTACAAATACAATGAATAGTTTGTATTTGTAATTATTCTTTATTAACATGTGATTTCTGTCTTTTTGTCTTTCCTCCTAAACAAAACATGATGGCTTCCATCCTGGACCTGCCATTGTGTATCCGTTCCTCTCAAACCCAGCCAGTCAAAGCAGATGGCCTCTTGTCCTGAGCCTGGTTCTGCTGGAGGTTTCCTCATGAGGGAGTTTTTCCTTTCCACTGTTGCCTCTGTGCTCGCTTAGGATGGCACACTGTGATGAAGTGAAAACTCAGAGCAATCTCTTGGCTCCTTAGATCCATCCATCCATCATCTTTACCCTTTTCTTCCTTTTTGGGTTGCAGGGGTCACTGGTGCCCATGTCCAGCCATCACTGTGCAAGAGGTGGGGTACGCTCTGGACAGGTCTCCTCCAGTCCATCTCAGGGACACAGAGACAAACAAGCATTCACTCTCTCACTCACACCTAGAGATAATTTAAAGTTACCAATCAACCTAAGATGCATGTTTTTGGTTAGTGGGAGGAAACTGGAGTATTTGGAGAAAACACACTGAGAGAACATGCAAACTCCACCCACAAAGAAACTCCACCCAGAAAGGCCCACGGGCTGGGATTTGAACAGAGGCGACCTGCTCACTGAGAGGCGGCACCGTGCTGCCCGGCTCCTTAGATAATTAAGTTATTAACTGACTTTATGACTGTTTCTGTTCAGTGCCCCGAGAGGACTTCTGTTGTGATTTGGCGCTTAAACTGAATCGAATCATTGAAAATTAATGAAACTAATAATAAGTCATTTGAATTATTTATTAGGAGGAACTATTTTTTTAGGTGGGGCCACCTGCCCCATTGGGCACCGCCCCTGCCCATGACCCAGATTCAGCATAGAAGAAGAAAAAAATCCTGGAATAATAAAAATAATAATAATAATGTTTACATGACTGAGCGCAGGGGGGTTAGATGTATTGGAGCCCACATGTTAATGAAGGTGGGGGGACTCACCCAGCAGAGACCCGATGAGGATGAAGACCTGGACCGTGGTGCTGAAGTCCCGGTAGGCTCGCTCCCTGAGGCTCCGCTGCTCGTCCAGGCCGGCCCCGGGGGGCGTCAGGCTGCTGTCCCACCGGGTCGACGGGCTCGAGGCGTTCACGAGGTCCAACCAGAGGTGGGCTGATGTGAAATTGACCGCCCCGTCCCCCACCGTCGCTGCCCGGCTCCAACCGTTCATGTCGAGATCCCCGTCGGTTTATTTTAGGAAAGGACGTGAGACATTTCTGATCGTGGAAAATACCGTGAAGGAGGAAGAGGAGGGGGGGGGGGGGGGGGGGGGGGCATATGACAGAAGAAGGAAGATGCACCGACAGGGATGGTGTTAGGTCTGCAGGAAGTCAGGGAGCTCCGTGCGTCCGAGCGGGCGCGCCTGCAGAGGATGGGTCGCGCAGCAGCCGAGCTCTGAATCCACCGAGCTGCGAAGTGAAGCCCCGAACACAGAACCGTCCCCTCTGCGCGGGGGGGACATCGTGGCTGCGGAGCTTTAACTCCAGAACCCACGGAGGCTGATTCCTGCGTGGATGGATGGCGTGGAGAGGAGCAAGAATGAAGAGAAAGAGAGAGCTCCTCCTTGTGTTGGAGCACCAAGAATCTCCAGTCAGTCTCATGAATGACGGTCACTACACAGCAGTCAGGTCAGGTACGAACAGGAAGAAACAGAGCGACGATTTTCTCACGAATCTGACCAAAATACGGTCTCTTTCAAAATAAAAGCCCTGCAACCAGCTTAAAAATATACAACTAGTAAAACTAAACAAATGCAGCGTGAATGACAAGATAATGTCAAGATATGACATCTAGTAATGCTAAAACTGTTTTTTTTTTTTTGTTTTTTTTTTTGTTAAAAGAAGCAGAACCGAAAAAATAAAGCTAAAAGTTTAATTAGCCCAATACTTAAAGGAAAATTATTAAGTGTAGCAAAACAGGTTTTTACATTGACATAACAAAACTGTAGCTAAAAGTTAAAATTAAGTATAATTAAATGAAGCAAAACAGTTCTGTTAACATTTACATCACAAAAATACAGCTAAAAACTAAAATTAACAAACCATAGCTGAAACAAAACTGTAGCTAAGTGTAACAAAACAGGTTTTTACATTGACATGACAAAACTTAAAGCTAAAACTAAGTGGCTAAAAGCTAAAATTGGCTAACTATAATTAAATGTAGCTAAACAGTTTTAACATTTACGTCACAAAAATATATCTAAAAGCTAAAATTAACAAACCATAGCTGAAACAAAACTGTAGCTAAAAGCTAAAATGAGCAATTTTGTTTCTAGCTGTTTTGTTAATTTATTCTTTCAGCTATATGGTTTGATAGTTTAGCTTTAAGTTAAAGCTAAAATTTGCAAAAGTAGCTATAATGAAATGCAACAAAACATTTTTTAACAATATAACAAAACTGTTGCTGGAAGCTAAAATCAGTTAAACCATAGCTAAAAGATAAAAGAAACATCTGCAAAAATTAGCAAAACAGAAGCTAAATAATAAAACATCCGTGCAAAATAAATAAATGTAAAATTTGCTAAACAGTGATTAGATGTTAAATATAACTAAATTATTCCAAGGTAAGTTACCAAACAATAGCACAGCTATAACAAAAAAGTAGCTTATAGTTTGCACAAATATATCTAAAAGTAAAGAAAATTGCGAAACAGTAGCTAAAAGCTAAATTTTGCTCAACTGTAGCTATAATTACATTTTGCAAAATAGTTTTGTTAACATTCATGTGACAAAAATATAGCTAAAAGCAAAAATTAACAAACCATAACTGAAAGACTAACTTAACAAAACAGTAGTGCTAAAATGAGCCAGATGTAAAGAAGTAAAATAGGCTAAACAGTGGCTTAAAGCTAAAATTAACAACAGTAGCTATAAACAAAATGCAACAAAACATTTTTAACAATATGGCAAAGCTGTAGCTAAAAGCTAACATCAGCTAAACAATCTGTAAAATATAAAATAAAATTTTTAAAAAATTGCTAAAATTAGCAAGACAGAAGTTAAAAAATAAACAACCGAAAAATAAATAAATGTCAAATTTGCTGAACAGTGATTAAATGTTAAATATAACAAAACCATTGCAAACTTAAACTAAAAAATAAAGTTGCCAAAATAGCTAATAGCTAGAATTTACAAAAAGTATATATAAGTTTACAAAGATATAGCTAAAAATAAAAAAAAATAACTAAACAGTAGCTAAAAGCTACATGTAGAGAAACCCAAGCCAAAATTAGCCGAACAGTAGCCAAATGCTACATGTAGCAAAACAGCAACTATAAGCTAAACTTAGCTACAAGCTAAAAGAGGCCTAGAGCACGTATGCTCAAGTGTGTAGAGAACATTTGGTTTTAAAAGTAATTAAAACAGAGAAATTGTAATATATATATATATATATATATATATAAATAAGTATAAAAGTTATAAATGTTAAAAGTCATAGCACTTTTTCTTCAGATCGGACTTTTCAATATGAAAGTGGGTAAAATAGCACAAAGTATGTGAAAGCAGTTTAAATATGGGGAAAAATGATAACTCTAAATAGATTTTAAAAACAGATTGACAACTAAAAGGTGATCAGAAATAGAATTTATGTTTAATCTCCTGTACGGCTCTGTTTCAACATGGCTGCTGTTGTTTGGTTCAGCCTGTTCTCTGATAGGAGCTTGTCACATTCCTCTGTGGTTTGATGAAAATACCAAAAGCAGGAGAGCACATACCTCTGTAATACAAAACATAATTGACTTAAAGTTTAACAAGACAATAAACAGCATGTTTTAATGTAACCAGGATCAGTAAAACTATAGTTTATGTGTGATTTGACAGTTTTTATTACTTTAAACAACTTGCACAAAATCAGAATCAGGTTTGCTGAAAAGGAGTTAGTCCTGGCGACGGTGCAGGAGGTTCACAGCAAAATAAACACACAAAAATGAAATGTTACGTGCAGTTGCTACTTGTTAAAAATGTGCAAAAATGCAACCAAGAAAAGTGCTAAATATGCAAATACATAACGTATACATAAGTCTCAAAATAAATATAAAATGCATGCAGCAGTATAAAAAAATGCAGATTGATACATTTTTTTAACAGTTGATACAAATGTGTAAAAATTAAATCAGTTTCATTGCAGATTTGTTTGTTAAGAGGAGTGGGGAGGTCAGGTGAGAATGGTTAAAAAAAGATATCATAATAAGCATTTATTGTGCTCATTCACACTATTGTGATCCATTTTTCTTCCGTACGTTTTTCGGCACGATTCTCGTTCCACAGTTTTCAAGCTATTTCAACTAATCCATTTTCAGTCACATGCTGAAGTGTCCCTGGGGAAGACACTGAACCCCTCATTGCCTCCGATGTGTGTCCCATCAGTGTATGAATGTGATAAAGAACTGATTATTCTTTGTATAGATCTAGTAGAGAGCTGTATGAATGGCACAGATTGTAGTGTAAAGTGTTTTGAGTATCTTGATAAGATAGAAAAATGCTATACAGTCCATATATTCGTATATCATTTAGCTTTTTGAAATATTTAGCCTTTTCTGACACTTTTCCTCACAGAAAATGAATTGAGCTCATTTCACATCCTTCACATCTTTAGATCTGTTTATAACCTTTTACTGCTCCTTTCACATTTTGTTCCAGTTCAGCTTCCTCTGCAAATTTAGACATTTTTCAGCTACTTTCAGATTTTTCAGTTGTTTTGTTGTCCTTTCAGTTTCTGATACTGTAACTACCCATATTGTTGTGCTTCTTAACTTCTTTCTGCTAATTTCAGCTTAGTATGCTCCTTTTATCTAATTGCTGCAAGTTTCTGCTATTTCAGCTATTTAGCTGTTTTATGCTTTTTCAGCTAATTCCATTTTTTTTGTTTTTTTTTTGTTTTTGCACTCATTCAAACTTTTCTTATCCTAACTTAGCAAAAATGTGTTCTCTCCACTTCCATCTGATAATTTAAGATTCTGATTTTTAGCTGCTTTTCAGCAGTTCTTTTTGTTGCTAATTTCAGCGTTTTTTTCAGATTTCCACTTTTTTTGTGATCAATTCAGCTTCTTTCAGCCTAACTGAGCAAACACGCTCTTTCTGCTTTCTTCTGCTAATTCAAGCTTGTTCAACCTTTTCAGCTACCTTGATAGCATTTTAAATTCTAAGTTTTTGGTCTTTTTTTTGTTGTTGCTACTTTCAACCTAATTCCATTCTTTATGTTTTATTTCAACTATTTTCTGCTAGTGTTGGCTTTTTTCTGCTACTATTTAGCTGTTTTATGCTAATTTTAGCCTTTTCAGCTAATTCCACTATGTTTAGCTAATTTCAGCTTTCTGCTTCCTTCTGTTAGTTTAAGCCTCTTTCTGCCTTTTCAGCTTTTTTGTTGTTGTTGTCATTTTCAGCCTTTTTTTTTTTTAGCTAATTTCCTCATTTTTATGCTCATTCCTGTTAACTTATACCTAATTCAGCAAAAATGTTTTTCTGTCTTCTAATTAAGGCTTGTTTTTATTTCAGCTACAGTTCAGCATGTTTTTTGTTTAGCTATTTTCAGCAAGTTCTTCAGCAATAAATATTCACAATGCATTGTCACAGGAAATGCAATCTTTCTAGCTAGTCGATTGAAAAACATTTGTGTGCAGCGAGTAACTGGTTCTGATGAAACCAGTTAGAAGAAAATGGTTGTGAGATTTTATTTCCAGGGTGAGAGGGATCACCAGTGATCCTTCTTGTTCATCTCAAAGTCCTGGAATTGAACAGATCTTGGGATTGCAGTCGATCTCAGCAGAACTGATGGCCCAAGACCCAACTAAGGCCTCCATGTGAAATTTAAGTTTTGAGTAACAGCACCGCGCCGGGGGGGGACGGATATGAATTTATTTTATTAAGCAGGCTTGTTAGATAAAACATATGCAAATTTAAGACAAACTCTACTTTAAACAGTGTTTAATGAGGTATTAGGCTGCTGCATGGCCTCATTTAAATTTCTGAAGTCCTGTAAAATCAGTTCAGTTGAACAATCACAACTGTTCCCAAAACAATTATCACCATAGAATCACAATAATATTAAAAAATTAATCTTATATATGATAATATTTCTAATATGTAATAACGTAAATTGCCATTCTTGCATTTTCAGAAGTGCTATAGATTTTTATTTTAAAAATCAATGTGCCAAGATTACTCGTGTTTTATGACTTTTTTAGCCGTACAATCACAGAATTAGACGGTTTAACCGAAAACACCAAATGGTTCTGGTTTGGCACTTGAGAAAAAAAAAGATTTCACAACAGGTAGTTAAATATATGAATAAATAAAATATCCGCAACATAAATAAAAAAAAAACTACACGAGTGAAAAGAAAAATAATTTCTGGTGTGTATTTTTTGCCAAGTCAAAAATGATCTTTGCCCGTGTTGTTTCTGTAATCATAAGACAACATTTCTGTCTTCCTGTTGAAGTTATAAAAGAAAATAAAGAAACATTTGTTTTTGAGTTGGATGATCAGTGGTGTAGTGCAACACGATTCTAGAAAAGAAAGTTCTGAACGTGCTTCATCTATAAAAGGCATCACAGGCTCCATTATTAGTCTTCATACAGTTACCTAATCATTCATCTGTCATTTCTACTTATAAAAATCTAAAGAACATAATAAGCACAGGCAGGAATGAGCACTCAGGGACTTTTTGATAGACTTTAAGTGGCATCCTTATTGACCAAGTGACTCTTGAAGAACCGCTGGACTCTTTCCCACAGATCCAGCTGAGCCTCAGAGTGGGCTTTTGGCTCCCCACCAAACACCACATCCCTTCCCACCGCCGCATGAAACCCAGACGGACAATAAGGCATGTAGGGGACCTCCAGGAAGTGTCCGGCCTTTGGATAAGTGATCAGCTGAAACGATTCTTTGCCATGACTTCGGAGGATTTCAGCAGCCTGTTTGGCGAAAAAGACGCTGTTCCAGTTGCGGTCATCTTCGGAAGCGGCAAACAGGAACTGGCAGCTGGCACGTTCGACAGGGATCAGTGACGCCTTGTTCCTTTCCAACGTGGGGTCTGGTAAGACGTCGCGAATATCCACAAGCCCGGTCTCTGTGAATTTAAAATTCTTTAAGGCAGGTGAAAGCGGAGGAAATATGCGGTCCCTGTAGTGTAGAGGGATCACAGTGTTTGCGTTGCAGGCGTTGATGCAGACGGTTGCTGCGATCCCAGAAAAATAAGAGGCCATGGACAGAGCCAGAGCGCCACTGTGCGAGATGGATATGATGCCAATCCCAGAATCCTTCACCTGCACGGAAAAGTAATGTGTTAATAATATTGTACAGATTATTTTTTGTAAAAATATTTAAACCTGCTTGATCCTGAACAAATGGTACGTTCCATTTACCTCGGAAGTTGGAACTCGGGTCTGGGAATGACGTTGGAACCAACTTAACCGTGTTCCACTTTCAACCCAGAAAAACCAGTAGGAGCTCCTAATGGTTGCGCTCAGTGAGCAGGCTAACTACTCTTAGCAATAAAAGCCAATGCACCCAAACATTGCAGCAATACGTTTACTAATACTGGTTGAAAAGTACTATGTGCATGACTGGATTACTGAGATGAAAACTGACAAAAGTTCAATTAAAAACATTATTACTCCAAAATCTGTGATAGGATTTAGAGATTGAAGCAAGTCAGGCATCTCAGACTTTCTGAGTCAAAATTCTGACTTTGTGGGGTGTTCCAGTTGTTATTTGTACACTGGGAACTTCTGTACAATTGGAATGCAGCATAATATTTTGTTTCCAATGCAACTACTTCTTCTTTTTCTTATTTTGGCTGTTCCTTCTTCAGGGGTTGCTACAGCAAGTCATCCTCCATCTCACTCTGTGGAGGAGAGCATCCATTTGTCTTTTTCCTGGCAGCTGCATTTCTAACATCCTTCTACCAGTATACCCAGTCCCTCCTCTGGACATGTCAAAACCATCTCAGTCTGGCCTCTCTAATTTTATCTCCCAGTTGTTCAACCTGTGCAGTACCTCTGATGATCTCATTCCTAATCTTATCCAGCCTTGTCACTCCGAAGGAGAAACTCAACATCTTCATTTCTGCTACTTCCAGTTCTTTCTCTTGTCTTTTTGTCCACGTCTCTGTCTCCAGACCATACAACATAGCTGGACTCATTATGCTTTGTGAAGGAAAGTTTTACAAGGGAGTAGTGAGCAAACCATAGTACATACTAGTGTATATACAGTAGTATACAATACATAGTATATACATATACATATATAATACAGTAGTTCCTCGTTTATCGCGTAGGATCTGTACCCTGAAGCCCCGCAATAAGTGAAAAACTGCAAAGTAGGAATATTAGTACAAGTAGTATATATATATATATATATGTAGGCATTTTAAACCCTTCCCACACTTTTGCAATATTCTAAACTATGTTCCTAAACTCTAAATGCTCTAAAAGAGCACAGAATGTCAAGATTTCAGCTCCCTGCCTCCTTTCATGCGGCTCATCCATCCATCAGCCAGTTGTGTGTCATGTCCAGTCTTATTTTGAAAAACCGCAATAGAGCAAGTCTGCGATAAAGGAACTGCAAAGTAGAGAGGGACTACTGTATGTATATATCGTACATAGTGAAGTCCTTTGGATGAAGGACAAAATGTCTCCAAAAAAAACTGTCCAGATGACCTGCCTGAACTTTGTTGGATTATTTTACCTGGATTACTGAGCATGAACTTTTGAAGCTAGTGTATGGTTTGGAGACAGTGGACTCCTTTGTTAAGAAAGCAACAATCAATTGATTATTTAAATTGGATTATTTCAGCTTTGACTGGTGATCAGCCAATCTGACACTCGAAAATTCAATTTGTTCAGTTCATAATCTGGAAAATAAGCACGTTTTTTTATGAACGCACCTTTTACACTATATAGCACATATTAGCTGTGGAATGTTTTTATCAGCTAAAGGATACTCAGGACTTTATAAAACTGTCAAGTGTATAAAAATAACTTCACATAAAATACAAGAGGTAAACAAATGCAGCTAAATGAAAAGTGGATTCTCTACAGAGCTGTCTGCTGCTCATCGTCCTGCTCAGGCTGTTTTCCTTATTACGGTGTCATCTTTCACCTGAACAGGTGGCCTATTCAAGTCAAACTTCCTTTGTGGAACTTATGACGATCAAACTGTAAATTTACAAACAACTGATAAATTATAGTCTTTGTGGTTTGTCTGCTACCCTTCCAAACAGTATGTTGAACATTGGCACAGTTTAATTTCAACTCAAGTATTACACAAAACACAGTTGTTCTGGGGTATCCTCCATTTATATATCCATTTAAATGACAGGATTTAGGATTTCTTGACAAACTTTATAAAATACTATGAATGCGATGCAAAGAAATCGTCAGCAGATGGCAACAATGACACACTAAATACACATTTGGTTCTATACTTTTACCATTCGTATAACTTTTAAAACATAAACATTGTTTTTTCATAAACTATTAATGAGAGGAATAAAATATTATTAGCAACAAACCTCTGGCCGTTTTTTCAGATACGTCACAGCTTCTTCAAAGTACTCCAGATCCAAGTTTTGAGGGGTTTTAGGTAAACCCTTGTAACCATAATAAGCCAGTGCCAGAACCACATAACCTTTACTCGCCAGCAGGCTGGCTCTGGGTTCAGTAAGGCCTCCCCCTAAAGTGTACAAATCAATGATTCCTGGAAACTGGCCTTCTCCTGAAGAAAACACACACGTCATGAATGAAAGTTAAACATATGTATCTCACTCAGACATCATTGTTTTCACAGCTAACCTGGTGGTGTGAAGAGGACTCCTCTTATTTTGCCCTCCTCCACAGGTATTCTCTTCATTCCCTCAGTCAGGTATCCTCTCTCGCTCGTTTCGGCTGCTAAGAGCTCACCGGTCTCCTCACTGACAGCCTCTAACTCAACCAGTGTAGGGCTGAGTACGTTCTTCTTCAGTAGCTTACTGTGTGGAGTGTCAGGCGCCATGGACCAGAACAAACCCATGGGCTCCACGCCAGTGTAACTTCCTCCCAGTGAGGCCAAACTGCTGACTTCCACCTGTCCCGTTTTATCTGCTTTGTACAGGGCAGACGCTTTGAAAGTGACCCCTCTGTCATCCACCAGTTTGGATCTCAGCTGCACGGTTTTGTTGGGAGCGAGGCCTTCGACTTTTATCTGCATGGTTTTATCAAACAGGGAACGAACACTGGGGAAAATCTTCAAGCGCACCTGCGAGGACGCCATTTTGTCAGTGGTTCACTTTGTTGTTGCTTTTTTTTTTTACGTCCTGCTGCTACGGCTACCTGTCAAGGCAAGAAAAAAAAATATGAATGGCGTTGATTTTACACACAAACATATCACCAATGTGCTCCTCTGTTAGAAAATGCCGTTGTTTGTCTTTCGGCTACTCCCTTGAGCAGGAGTCACCACGGCCTGCGAACTCTGACCCAACCACCGAGTTACTGCAGTCCAGTTGTTGTTTAAAATACTTTCTCCAATATGGACCCATCTAAAAAGTCTTTTCAGATTTGTTGTATACGAGCTGTACAACCATAATAAAGATGATTCGGTTCTGTTCTAATAATCAGAGTAAGTTTTAAGTAATTAAATAAAAATTAAAACAACATTGTTGATGTATTCTTTATACCCTTAATTATCCCATGTGCATTTGTAACGGTTTAAATAAATTAATTCATTCAACCTTTATTTATACAGGTTAATCCCACTGAGAATGTGGTAATAGCTGAGAGTCATCCTCAGCGCATACATAAGTGCTACCTTAATGCGCGAGATCCATTTTAAAAACTTTGCCATTAACCATTAAAGCCAACTATGTCTGTTAGCAAAATATCTTGTGAACTATATTAATGAAATTAAGAAACTAACCACTAGTGTGTGTTTCTCTCTGTATATAATAATAATAATAATAAAAATAGAAAGTTTCTGGAGAAACTTTGACGGTGACTGCCTATTTATTATTAAATGAATAATATAAATACTAAATACTATTTAATATTAATAATTGTTAATTTATTAATTATTATTAAAATACTAATAATTAATACAACATAATAATATTCGCACCAAGAATTAGTATTAATATTAAATATTACTTATTAATATGAATAATAATTATATTAAAATAGATGATTATTAACATTAATAATTTATAAGTGATATTTATTATTATTATTACTAATTCATAATAGGTGATAATAGGTACTAATAGCTGCCTTCCATGCATTGCATAATGCACTGCCTTCCTTGCATGTTGAACCAAAATGGCTCCATATGTTACTCAGTTTCTGTGAAGAGTTTTCTAATATTCATTTCCTATGGGAAATTTGGCATCTATGTTAGCAAAATATGTCGCCATGGTAACTGCGAATGCCAATAAAAGTAATTGCACACTTCCCTGAGCCGGGTCGTTGTTTTGATATAACTTTTGTGGGGGTCCACATTATGGTTCGGGCCACATTAAAGTTGAAAAAGATACGCTTTTTAGGTGTAGAAGAATACAGTGGGGAGAACAAGTATTTGATACACTGTTGATTTTTCAGGTTTTCCCACTTGCAAAGCTTGTAGATGACTGTAATTTTTATCATAGGTACTCTTCAACTGTGAGTGATGGAATCTAAAACAAAAATCCAGAAAAATACAATGTATGATTTTTAAATAATTAATTTCTGTTTTATTGTGTGAAATAAGTATTTGATACACCAGAAAAATGAAACTTAATATTTGGTACAGAAACCTTTGTTTGCAATTTCAGAGATCAGACGTTTCCTGTAGTTCTTGACCAGGTTTGCACACACTGCAGCAGGGATTTTGGCCCACTCCTCCATACAGATCTCCTCCAGAGCCTTCAGGTTTCGGGGCTGTCGCTGGGCCACACGGACTTTAAGCTCCCTCCAAAGATTTTCTATGGGATTCAGGTCTGGAGACTGGCTAGGCCACTCCAGGACCTTAAGATGTTTCCTACGGAGCCACTCTTTAGTTGCCCTGGATGTGTGTTTTGGGTCGTTATCATGCTGGAAGACCCAGCCACGACCCATCTTCAGTGCTCTTACTGAGGGAAGGAGGTTGTTGGCCAAAATCTCACGATACATGGCCCCATCCATCCTTCCCACAATATGGTGCAGTCGTCCTGTCCCCTTTGCAGAAAAGCATCCCCAAAGAATGATGTTTCCACTGCCATGCTTCACGGTTGGGATGGTGTTCTTGGGGTTGTACTCATCATTCTTCTTCCTCCAAACATGACGAGTGGAGTTTAAACCAAAAAGTTATATTTTTGTCTCATCAGACCACATGACCTTCTCCCGTTCCTCCTCTGGATCATTCAGATGGTCATTTGCAAACTTCAGACGGGCTTTGACATGCGTTGGCTTGAGGAAGGGCACCTTGCGTGCACTGCAGGATTTTAATCCTTGACGGCGTAGAGTGCTACTGATTGTTTTCTTTGAGACTGTGGTCCCAGCTCTATTCAGGTCATTGACCAGGTCCTGCCGTGTAGTTCTGGGCTCATTCCTCACCTTCCTCAAGATCAATGATGCTCCACGAGGTGAGATCTTGCATGGCGCCCCAGACCGAGGGAGATTTTCCGTTATTTTGTATTTCTTCCATTTTCTAATAATTGCACCAACTGTTGTTGCCTTCTCACCAAGCTGCTTGCCTATTGTCCTGTAGCCCATCCCAGCCTTGTGCAGGTCTACTATTTTATCCCTGATGTCCTTACACAGCTCTCTGGTCTTGGGCATTGTGGAGATGATGGAGTCTGATTGATTGAGTGTGTGGACAGGTGTCTTTTATACAGGTCACGAGTCCAAACAGGTGCAGTTAATACAGGTAATGGGTGGAGAACAGGAGGGCTTCTTAAAGAAGATCTAACATGTCTGTGAGAGCCAAAATTCTTACTGGTTGATAGATGATCAAATACTTATTTCACACAATAAAACAGAAATTAATTATTTAAAAATCATACATTGTATTTTTCTGGATTTTTGTTTTAGATTCCATCACTCACAGTTGAAGAGTACCTATGATAAAAATTACAGTCATCTACAAGCTGTGCAAGTGGGAAAACCTGAAAAATCAACAGTGTATCAAATACTTGTTCTCCCCACTGTAAGTGGGCAGTCACCAACTAGTTCCTGGAGTTGGTGAAATATTGCGTCTTTGTTTGCAAATTACGTCGCCATGGTAACTCGAAATGCCAATAGAAGTAAAAGCACACATCACGGGGCCGAGCCAGTCGTTTTGATATAACTTTTGTGGGGGTAGACGCTGTGGTTCGGGCCGCATTAACGGAGATAGATATTTAGGCACTCTTCCGAGGTGTAGAATAATAGGTGCCGGCCGTACCCAAATAAAGTGCTATGTGTTGTCATCATTGTATGTTCCCATACAAAGACGAAATTGGCTCTCTGCATTTAACCCATCACACCTGGGATACACCCAGGTGGAGCATGGGCAGCTATGTAAGCACCCGGGGAGCATTTCGGGATTAGGTGTCCTGCTCAGAGACAACACTACATGTGGGAATGGCTGGGGATCAAACCTGGGACTTTCAGGACCCCATCTCAGCCCCACTATATAAACAGATGTACTCAGGTCTCTCTTGCAAATGAGTCTCCGAGGTTCAATGGGACTAACCTGTATAAATAAAGGTTGAATGAATGTCCTGATGCACGCTCAACAATCCAGGTAGAAAAATCCAAGTGTCTTTTTTTAGACAGTACTGTATATGCACATTTTTATAGATAATGAGCAGAAACCTGGTGGCAGCAGAGCAACACATTGATCTAGATGTTCGTTAAACTGTAGTAAAATGGCTGTTTGTTCCATGTAGTTTGCATAGAAAGCAAACTATGTAAACATTGTATTTAGCATTGAAAAGTAAAAATCTAAATCTAAGGGCATGCAGCGCAATCAACATATCTGTTCAGGCCATGAATATCACTGATGCTCAGTGCTTAAAAATAACTTCTGCACATTTAAAAGGTTTTAGGACAAGTGGGTAAAAGGTCACGAAGCACACCATTGTTGCAGACACAAGAAGAAGCCAACTCGAATACTAATATTTAGGACCTAGCTAACTATCTTCGTATGAGTTTGACTGGGTTTACTGCGTTTAGTTTACACAAATATGCAACAACATTTCGGACACTGAATCAATCCTATAACTAAAATACTATCGTCAACTCAAGCATAGTACAATAATATTGGAAGAGTTTGTGTAAAAAGCGACTCTACCTGCCACGAAAAGCAGCAGTGGTGAAACCTCTATGGCGCTGACCGAAACAACTAGACGCAACCATTTATCTATCCTCGAGGGGTGCTTAGATATTTAGATTCCGCCTACCTTTATTGCTTTTGCCCCACAAAATATATATTTTCTTTGGCGCACGAGTAACTTAAATAAATTTTTTAATTATCTGCTTCAACAACAGAAAAGAGACAATTTAATATTAAAACATTGGACAACATGCATACAAATACACCCCTTTTAATGTAATCGTCCATATTTTGGAATTTCACATTCTCACCAACAGCGTTTGAATTATTATTTTTTTCTAAAATACAACACATTTCATTTTTCTTGTCCTTCTTTTAATACAGTATATTATATTTAAATATATATATATATATTGATATATTTTTGTCCAAACAGGATCATGGAAATATTCACGAAATAACCACTAGGTGTCGACGTTAGAACATGCCCTGTTTTCCCCTTGATTAAGTTTTTATCTACATTAAATAACCTGATAGTGGAGCAAAACCAAGTCTTATCATTGTAAACTTTAAAAAAGCAAAAACAATAAATGATAAGGAAACTAATTTACAAAATATGTTGGAGCAAATGACCTGATTACAGATGCTGCCTGGACCATCTTACTTTTTTCAGTTATTATAAGAACAGGAGCTCCTGTTTGGTTCATGCAGACTTGGTGTCTGTTAAGAGGTTCTTTACTGGACCTGATAAGTCAGGGTGTTAAGCCTGAGCTTAATCCCATTAGCCACTTGCTGGGATCTAAAAGCTGCTGTGATGAGGAAGATGGGGATGAATAATGGCGTTTTTTATTGTCAAACCCGAGAAAATACAACAAAACAAGTGGAGGACAGGGCACAAAAATAAGATTAATAAAAAAATGTAAAGGACTGAACAAAAGCAACAAACTTGCACACACATAATTCAAACAATGTATGGTACTATGTGCTTTTATTTACAATCATATTTATATCACATTTATTTTGCCCTTTGTGTTTAAAACTACTCATAAGATTTAATGTGCATTGCACCTTGTGATAATGTACTTTCTCGACCATAAACAAAATACTGTAGAAGAAATGAGAAAAACACAGAAGCACAAAATGTGGCCTGTAACTATTTGTGCATAGATCATCTACTTTTATGCAACTCAAGTAAAATGTATTCAAAATCGAAAATGTGGGATGTAATTTTTGTTGTTGGCAAAAAAATTCATACAAAATTTTTTGTATGAATTTTTTTTTTCTTTGTTTATCACAAAAAAAAAACATTAGCTTTGTATATCTAATAACATGTAAAACTCTTTTTGTTGAACATGAAGTTGTGGACGCATCAAACATAAAATATTTGCGTGCAAACACATTTGACGCATCAATTCTGAATGAATTTTTTTATTTTTTGTTGATAAGATACTCTTGATTCTTTTGTCTCCGAACTGACTCTCGTACTTTTATTTTGAAGTAAAACTATCTGCGGTCGGGTGTGTTCCTTTAATTCACCGGGGTATGACTCGGCTAAAAGTGATGGCTAGAGACAAAGCAGGAGTTTCCCTCTTTATTTGAAAAAAAACTGTACAGAACATGAATTTATACACATAATTTTGCATTTAAAAAAACTTGTATGTTTATAACTATTATATAATTGAAGTCTGAGCAGGACATCCGATTGTCGTAGTGGATTCGCCGCCTGAAATAGAGTGCAAACTCCGCTTTGCCAACGCACCGTTTTGTCAACCGGTGCATAAATGATGTAGCGCCGTTGTCTTGACACGATTGAGCTCCGCCCATTTTGAGGGGTAGCCATGGAGACCGCGCGAGAGCCAGGCAGCCCTGTAGAGTTCTCAGAGCGAGTGTTTCCGCTTACCTAAAATAAAGAGCTGGCAGCGGCGAGTCGCGGACGAGGAGTGACGGAGCAGGGCTGACGGAGCTCGACGACGGAAACCTAATACATTCCAGCTATTTTTCACATCTAGCTTTGGGTGTCGTCTCTCAAGCTGCCGTTAATGCCTCGAATGTAAACCGAGCAGAGAGGAGGGTTCGCTGGTAAACCTTTACGTTGGTGAGTCTTTTTTTTTTTTTTTTTTCGCAAGCTAAGCACTCATAAGCCAATACTGAATGTCCCACTGCGTCTTATTGTCTTTGTTTATTTGTATTGATTGATAAACAACTAGTTAAGGAGAACACGGAGTTGTCGTTGTTGTTTCTCAACTAAAGAACCGGAAACCGCTAGCCGTGGACTCTCTTGCTAACGTTGTTAAAAACTGGACAAACGTACTTTACTTCCCCTCCGAACTTTGTAGTGTGTACGTTTTACTCAGTTGGGAACTTCCCGACGACCTTTACGACTTGTCTGGTGACAAAATGAAAACGTTTCGAGTAGCTGTTGCCCTTTGTAACAGCTGTATTGTTGTACCGGGTCACATGAACAACAAAGGTACGAGGAAGTCAGAGGAGGATATAACTAACAGAGATTCTGTGATAAGCCCAGCTCTTAGGGTTTTGATGTACTTTGTACATTTGACCATGTTGAGTTTGTCTCTGTTTTTATCAGACTGTGTGTGAGTGTGCTGTGGCAGCCCACCACTCTTTGTTTAAATAGCTCGCAGTGATGTTGCACGTGTCAAAGCGTGTGACTGCTTTAGGACGGCCGGAAAACCTTTTCACCACGTCTGATCCCGTTTATTATTGAGTTTTTGAGACTCTTGTTTCTCAGACGGCCTCACAACAGAAGTTCTGAGTTGTTTCCGGTTTGCAGGCTTTGGTAAGATGGGACATTTGTTGTTGCAGAAGATGTGGAAGTCCAGATGTGGACTGTTTACATTGGAGGACTAAGCCAGTGTCCAGGGCCTGTGTTCCTCCAACAAATACACTTTTTATTTGCTGTACTTATGTATACTACCACGCTGTGAACTTTGGGGTAATAATATTCAAATATATACTGAACTATATATGAAATGGGACACTTGTGGTGAGCTAACAATGACTAACTACTTACTGGTAGTCATAAACCACTCATTGTTTTCTCTTTATCATCAGCCACTTTTCTGTAGAAATCCACTTCAGTAACTTTCAGGAAGGGTTAAAGAGCTAGCATTTCTTAAAGGAATGCATATTGCTCACTGCCTTATGAGAAGAGACATCGAAATAGCTGTTTTGGTCAAACCTGGCAACTATCTTGAATCAGGTTGACTCAAGAAGTTAAATATTTGCAGATGCACATCCAGTGATTACTTTATGAGAGTTTTACTTAAATCTGTCCTGTTGATCATGTATTTAGCTAAAAACAACAAACTATGTTGACTTCCACAGGAACGTCCAAACTTTTAGGAAAAAATATTACCCAATGTGTAGTGTTCAAAGTACATGTTGGGGGTGATGCTCACCTTCCTCCACACCAAGTTTGAGCACAGTATCTCTATAATGTCTTGAGTTATAGTTATTATTTTGTGCTTTCAGGTCAGTCACAATGGTGACAATCTTAAATTGGACTGACTCCGACGATTGTTTTGTGAAACCAACAAAGTTGACTCGAGTAGTTAATGGCAACATTCTAAAAACAAATCTCGTGCAGTCACTTAGTGGTCAGAGTATGTGTACGGTATGAGTAGTTCTGTTTACACGCGCAAAATTCTTTGACCGGATTGAAATGTTTTCAGATGAAATAATTTCTGCATCATTTACATGGGCACAGTCTGTTCGTGGCGAGCGTTTGCATGCAGTGGGCTTTGTTCTGAACAGAAGTACTGATGCGCAGAGTTAAAAAAAAAAACACAGAAGAAGAAGTTCTACTTCTGTTCTACTTCCGGGATGAACGCAAACAAACCTGAGCGCTCAAAATGGACCCGCGACAGGTTTTAATGACGGTGGAGACGTTTCTTCACTCCCTGATTGAGCTACAGGTGATACAGATCATTTTGAGCTCTTTCAATTTTTTTTAGTAAAAATGTTGTCGCTCAACGACCAGTTTTGTTTCCCCGACATGCTAATATTATTAGCATTAGCCAGGCGGAAATTACATAGGTCGCACATGCGCAGTCAGGTCAGCTTTTCACGATCGAGACAAAAAGAACAGATTAAGCGTTTGCCTACACACCGTTCGGATTATGAATCGGCATAAACCACCCGTCTCATTCTGATCACAAATTCTTTTGGATCGAGCAGAATCAAGAAAGAAATAATCCGAATGGGGCGTTTACGTGATGCATTTTTATCCCGAATGGCCGTTTAATCCGATTACTTATGTCCATTTAAACATAGTAGTGTTGTAGTCAAGACCACCTAACCCAAGACCAGAGTGTACTCAAGACTTGTGGGGTCTGAGACCAAGTCGAGACCAAGACCTCAAGTCTTGGAGCTCAATCTTTTCACAGATTATCTGTTTTATACCAAACTGTCACGACATAGTGACAGTTTTATCAAATATGTTAAAAAACGTATGTAATTTTTATAAAAGTTACATACTTCCACTTTGTTTGCTTTTGCATTTTATAAACTTTCAAAGCTACATGACAAAGAAATCAGACATTCAGTGGTTTTTGCACAATAATTTTCATGTCATGTGACCCACTGACACAAAACGTATGTTAAACTACTCTACTAAACCTGACAGACCAGGCACCCTTATTTATTTCTCATTTTAAAGCATTTTTCTAAATTTACATAATTTATTTGTTCTAAAATCATGGTTTTCGCTCAATAACTAATTAGAAAATGCTTTAAAATGAGAAATAAATGACAGTGTCTTCTTGTGTGTCAGGTCTAAGAGTAGTTCAACATTAGTTTTGTGTCAGTGGGTCAAATGATGTAAAATGTATAAATTTTTGTTTCTAAAGAGTGTTTGGTTCGGTAATTTGTTGACGGTCCCTAAACGAACCATTACGTCTCGAAGGAGGGCAGACTGAGCTCGGCTGACCGACATCAGACTGCCTGCTTCGGATCGAACGAGAGGAACACACGGAGCTCGAATGTCCAACGTAGAACTAACTTCACCGTGGTAGAGAAACAAGGTTCCAGCATAGCACAAACAGTTCAGAAACAATTTGAAATGAAAAAAACCAACAACTATATATTAAATGATTGAGTCGTGTTTTAGACTGCTTATTATGCTTACAATGAGTCACGTTATCACTTGGATTTGAATCGGTACATTTAGCATCCCATAAAATCAAGGATGTTAAATAAACTGGTCAATATTCTGGCAATTTAGTGATATTTCCACAGTTGTGGTCTTGACTGGTCTGGAAATAAAATCCCGAGTCCTCATTGTCTGAGACAAGACCGAGACCATCAAAACATGGTCTTGAGACCGGTCTCAAGACCGGTCTTGAGTACTACAACACTAAACATAGCTAGTGTCAGATACTGCTGCACCAGATTTTATGTAAATGTCTATAAAACCAGCTGAGTTTAAGCACTGTTGTGTTTGCTAATGTTGCTTAGCTGTGATGGCTGTCTCACATAGGATTGACTCCAAAAGTTTATGTACCGTGCACTAATGACCCGAAGATGTGCTTGTCAAGCACATTTTCTCCTCATGGGTGTGTCATGTTTTCTTACCTAATCTTGCTTTTCTCTTTTTTTTTGTTGTTGTTTTTTTTTTAAACATGTTTTTGTGCTTTTCCCTTTCTGTCTTTTACTGTCCCCTTTTTGATATGTCCTTGCAACAGTACAGGGGGATGCTGAGTAGCTGTGGGACTTAACAGTACATAATACTTGACAACAAAGAGTCTTTTCTCCGCTGCCATGCAGAGTCTTGTCTCTGGGCTCCCTCCACAGGCCTCCAGCACCTTCCACCAGCAGCAGAAGCACAGGGACCTACTGGGTGGAAATCTCTCGGCTGTTTGGCACACTGAGTGCTCTCTGTTCCCGGACACATGCCTGCACTGCTGCTCTGCTTGGCTCCTTTTGCATTCCAGGAGCCTCGGGCAGCTGAAAAACTGCAGTAGCAGCCTGCTGGCTGGCTGCTTGACTAGCTGGCTTCTGAAGCAGAGAGTTGCTTTTTTTTTTTTTTTCTTAAGTGAGAGAGTAAAGACAACATATTGAAGTTAGCACCTGCACACTTTAATTTGATGTGTCAGGCTCAACATTGCTGTCAGCATCTGACAAGAAAATCACAGTTGCGGGTTAGGTTGACATCCAAACTTGAAGTGTTGCTTTCATTGTTAAACTGCCTTCTGCATTATTTCATTCATTTAAGGAACATAATGGCAGCACATCATAATTTAATTTAAAAAAAAAAAAAATCCCCAGAAGCTCTAAAACATCTTGTAAAGGCAAAGTGAATGCTGCATAGATTCTTCAGCACAGACGCTAGCTAATGACTTTGTCCTTTCTCAAGCCTTCTTGCATGAACGCAATTAAACCAACTGCTTAAGTTTTCACTTTTCAGAGATTTGTCTGGTCAATACTGTGTCCTCAGCCTTTCTTTTCTTCTCAGGAACTCAGTCGTTCAGTCATCTTAAGCAGTTTGCCACACTCAGCAAGAACACTTGTTTTGTTTATGGTTCTCATACATTTTGTCCAGAACACATTCTAAGATAGCAAATGGCTTTTTATAATTCAAACCTAGGCTTCCTTTGTACTTTGTGCCCAACACGGACAGTTGAGGAAGTATGGGTGGAATAAATGGCTGCCTCAGGTCTCCTGCATGTGCTTTGACTAGCTGCTTTTTGGCTGAATACAATACCCAAACTGTCCTGCCAAAACTGACTTGCGTCACTCTCTTCCCACCTGTGTGCACCACATGCAGGTACGCCTCTTTAATCTGCTATCGGGGACTTAAAAGATGGCTTGCAACGGGGGTTGCTGCATGTATATGTCTAATAAAAATGTTTGAATATATTGATTATTGGTCTATATAAATGTATTTCAGTGCAACACCTTGAATTACATTTACTGACCTGAATGACCAAGGAAACAAGTCTTCAAACTACAATAAGAAGAATAAATAATAACCACACACTGGATTCTCTAGGCGTCTATAAGGAGTAACGCCTGATTATGTGGTATTATGACTTTTTAAGATGGTTGAGTCTAGTTTATCACATTTTTAAAACAGTACAGAAGTAGTCCTTAATTATCTAGCTATTTAGGTGGATCTGTTTTTTCTTTTAGACGTAGACAAGAGTACGAGACATTACAGTTGGTATCAAATTTTCTTTTGCAGATGAGACGTTTCACCCATTCTTCCACCCTCAAGTGTAGCACATGCAAAAATGAGCTTGTGTTTATGTATGTATATGTTGTCTTATCATCAATACCAACTGTAGCAGGATCCGATCAGTACCCATAACTCCTGAGTTTTTGACGCAGGACTGAATGACAGTTGAACGTTTTTCCTCTTTCATCCAAAAAGTAGGTTTTGGCAGTGGTTTTATGAGCTCCATTGCCTTTTGGAATGATATCGGCCCCGTCACCTCCTCTTGAGAATATTTGTGCTTGGCAATCTTCAACTTGCCTAAAATCTGATCATTCAAAATATATCATTCATTTCAGTTATTGTTTATTTAGATAGAGACCAGTTCTTAATTATTACCAAATATCAGCTACTATAACATTTATAGACTAAGCAAATTTGCAATGCACATCCCCAAATGGGCTATTGGCAACATGAAAAGAAGAGTTTAAAATGCAGATCATAAAATAAAATGTTAAGACGTTTGCATTAAAACAAATAACAACATCAACCAGAGTGTCAATTATGTCTTTACTCCAAGTCTGTTCATCCTTCAAAACTGCTTCCATCTTGCTTTAAAACGATGCCAGATGCATTAATTATAACAGTTAAAAAAAAAGAAGGTTTTGCTGATTCATGTTTTGCCCCTCTCCCTTTACGTCTTACCAACTCACCAGAAACAATATGTTCTGCTGTTACGTCAACTTGAAAGGTTTAAGTTAATAGTTCTTGTGCCAAAGTGAGGATCAGGGATTAAAGTGTAGAAGGGAAGAAGACTGAAAGATGCTGCCACTGGTGGACGGTGTTTACAGGGTGCATACGAGGGGTAATGGACTCGGTTACTGTTACATTTCTTGGTATTAGCAAACTGCTAAATAATAAAAAGCAGAAGTGGTCTTTTGTCAGACCTCAGTTTTTAAATTTCTGTAGCACTTTCACTCATTTCCTTTTTTTTTTACTGTGTTGCTTGTGGTTACGTAATCCTTGCTGAATGTTGACAGTAATCCGTGCTATCCACCCCCCCCCCCCCCCTTTCTCTATCCCTTCATCTCAATGTGGCCTGGACAGGTTAAGCCGTAGAGGACTCTCCCTGGTTGTGGAAGAGAAAAGATGTGCGATGGAATGGTAGCGTTTCCGCCGAGAGCCCTGTCCTCCTCTTCCTCCGCTGCCTCCTCTTTGGCCCACAGGCTGGCAGCCCCTGTGCTTCTCCTGTTCCTCCTGCTCCCTCATGGTCGCACATCAGGTAAATCGCAGAGGGACACACACTTTATTTCTCCTTGTCTATGCTCCTAGATGACACACACACAGAGTAAACTGTCGTTTTTACATCTCTTGTGAATTCAGTGAGGTTTATTCTTCCATGCGTTGCAAGTCTGTTAGATTAAATCTTCCTTTAGCCTTGGCTCTGTCAGGTTGTGCCTCTGAGCACCTGCTGAGATCTTAATCCTAGACTGGCTCCATTCACCGTCCTAATGTCACAACAGTTTTCTTTACTGCTGAGTAAAAAAGGACAGATTGTTGTCATAAGGTTTGATTCAAACGTGACATTTATCATCCTTTGAGGCCTTTTAACGCCATTAACTAACGATTATTGACCCTAAACAGCCCACAGATCAGGTTTTGTACACGAGCATTGGAACTTGAATTGAACCATTTCATTACAAGCATTACATTTTGTTTTTCTTTCTTATTTGGGGGAAAATTTAATTTATACATGAAAATTGGAGTGTCTTCCTCATAAATGCGTCATTTTTTTAAATTCTGAAGATTCTGTAGACATCCACGTGCACTTTCACTCATAGCCAGCTTGTGAATTGTGCCAGATGGCTTTAGAAGAGAAAGCGGTGTGAATCTGCATATAGGGTTGGTTTTTAAAGCCGCGAAATACCGTTGAGCCTTAATTGTTTTGTCTTTCTTTATTGGTATAAATGATTAGATAGATATGGTTGTGAGAAACCGCAACAGTTGGGCATTTAAAATAAGAGATGAGCTTGCGAGCAAGGTAGGTTTGGGGGGAGGCCACTGATCCGAAGTGCTTCATCTCTGTCTGTCTTATGCAACATGCATGATTCATGTGGAGGCCAAACGACTGATGTCCTGCTTACGTTGTGCGTTCAAATTCTCCCTTGATCCTGAGTGACATCAAAAATGTGTCCTCAAATCCCTGAACCACGTGGTGTTTTCTGTGCGGAAGTGCGTTTGAGTCCAAAGGTTATTTTTAGGTCTTGTATATGTAGTTTTCATTCATTTAGGCTCGTTTCATCCGACTGTACATTAAATAATTTAACTGTTGGTTTGTAAATGGGACTTCATTGACTAATTTGCTTATTTAAAGCCCAATTTTTTTTTATTAGGCTTAAAAAAACAAAATTTGTAAAGCAACTAAAAAGCAAAACTTCTAAAACCAATAGGAAGGCTAACAGTTGAGGTAGATTTTAGTACGCAAAATTAGATACGGCAATTTTAGTCTGCTAATATTTGTCACTGTCTGCCTGTGCATATTTTTTCAGTTACCAAGTAGGAAAACGATGCAGCTACAACCGGCTTAATGTAGCCCACAACTTGTTTATTTTTATATGGGAATTCTCTTAAAATGTTGTTTTTACATGTACAAGTTCTTCTAAGAGTTGTTAAATATACATTAATTTAAGGTAAGCAGTTATTGTTCTATTTTTGTCAATGAAAAATGCATATTGACCCAAAACGTGTTTTATATCAGCCATTGGCTGCGCTGATTGGTATCAGCCATTGAATAACACAAGTCAGCCTGTGTATAAAATATATTCTTATTTGCAATAAGTACTGATAAGCAGAAAACGTGCATATGTTTAATCCATATAATTTATTGGGTTAGAACTAGTGGATGTCTTGTGCACAGATTTCAATCAAACACCAGTGTTTCCCCTACCATTACACAAGTGGGGTGCCCCACCCCGTCAACAGAATTGAGCACCCCGCCTACCAAACTGAACTCCCCCTTCCCCGGCACTGACGTAGCACCAAGCTAGCGGCGCGCAATACAGGCGCTCTAGCTAAAAAGCTAAAGGCGCCTCTTACCTCATGCTGACCCACCCCCGCCCCTCAAAAACTGTTGTGCAAGCTGCACTCAGACATGTCTCCGTCTCTCCCGTCAACAAAAATCATGGCTGAGAAGAGCACCCCACCATGGCAAGTTAACTACGGGAAACACTGAACACTGTTGTAAAAAAACAAATAATTAGGGACTTGACTCCCATTTACACAGGGAGGTACGAAACTAACATTCACTGTAAGGCAACGGTCATTTATTAATAATTTAAATAACTAACTAATAAAGAATGTGTTGCTGCACATACAATGTGAAACTTGTTTCACAGTCAGACATATTATCATAAAGACAAGGGTTTAAAGCAATCATTTTTCTGGCCAGAACCTCTCTTCCGCCTGCTCATCATACATAATTTACATAGGTAATCCCTCGACATGTTCCATACATGGAGAATGCTGTAGAAATTTCATGAATATAAAATTTCATCATCAGTGACGGGCCTGTTCCAGCCTCGTATAAATAGCAGATGGCTGCATCAATTGAAATGGATATCTGGAAGTATTTACTGTACTTCATCTGCATATTCGTTCAAAAGCCAACACAAGAGACTAGACTGCAACACAGCCGCTATTTTTGGAGAAGAGATAAAAGACGATAACAAACTATTATATCAGTTATTCCAATTTGGTTTATTTAGCAGAGAAAGAAAATGCCTAGATGCCCCTGTTATGTTGGGTTTATGTTCTTACTGGAAATAAAATACAAAATTTTTTTTGTATCAGTTAGGAAGCAGTGACTCTCAGCGCCAAGATATTTAAGACCCAATCACATTCCAAGTTCCGTCTTTTTTTATTTGTCATTCAGCTGTTCGTTTTAAACAGATTACCAGCAGGTAATCTCGACGGCTGAGTTAGTCCAAATGGTCTTCTCAGATGTGCGTTTGTGATTACTGGTCATTATTACATTTATGCTCTGAATGGAGACATGCTTCCAAATATTGTTGTTGTTGTTGTTTTAAACAAACCATCCTGTTCAACAACAAACTACTAAACACTCTTTGGGTTGTATGTCTCCAAAAGAAAATATTCTCAGTTAGCAGGATTTTCAGAGTAGTTCATGTTTTTCTGAGCATATCTGACTTCTCACTTGTGTTGTCTGCTTAGTGTTCAGTTCCTAATATGGTGTAAATTCTTCACAGCATGTGTTATGTTTCTGAGGAAATAGGCCCAGACAATGAGTCAGAACTGGAAGGGAAAGATGGGGGGACTCGTAGCACCACCACAGGATCTGATCCCACAGCATGCTGTATTTTCCAACGGTGTTCCATCTGTGGAGGCAAAAAAGCAAAAAAAGGTTCAAATCATCGCTCTGTATCCAATTAAACAAATAAATGTTGCCCTCAAAACCCCATTGATCTGTGAAGTTTAAGCTAAAGCTGCACATGAAAGTGTGAGCAAGGAACAGAAATTTCCCACAAAAAAGCCTGCTGTGTTCTTTGGGTGGTGGTCACGTTAATGTATGGTCATGTGTGAGAACAGGAAATGGGATGGGGAGAAAAGCGTAGCAGGATTTATAAAAAAAAAAATAAAAAAAAGGCAGAGAGAACAAGGGAGGGAACAGACATGGCAGAGGCTGCCTATTCTTTGTGATTTATTTGTTTTTGACAGTGATTGTTGTGAAAGTTGACGGACTTTTTCTTTTCCACATTGAGGACGATTGCACAAACTGATTCTTTTGTTGAAATATAAATCAACGTGTAAAACCATCTGAAGGACATAAAGTTTTTGTCTCTTGAAAGCTGATGTCATGAACAAAACTTGACGGCTCTTTTTCTGTCTGTAATAACAGAGTCGGTGGCTAGCAGAGCGTCACTGCTCGGACCACAGAGGAAAATATCTGAGTGAGCCATGCCTTACATTTGGCATCTGCTATGTGTTTTTTTTTTCTTTCTGAACCAACACAACCGTGTGCAAATATTAAGAAAGTGTAGTGTGCAAATCTGACTGCACACTACTGGTTTTCAGCCATAGTAAAGTTAAGGTTGGGTTTACGATCAGTGCAAGCTGCAGGAGCGGGGAACAATGGCTCCTGTGCAGCTCACAGTTCAGAATAGGTCCCTGAAGTCCTGTTAGCAAGACGCTTTACATGTGGGCAGAAGTAAAGCGACACATTGACTTTGTGCTTTTTTGCTGAAATCGGAGAACAAAAAGTGCTTTGGAGCGTATTGGGAGGCCACAACAAGATACAGCTGCACTAGATCAGCAGTGTATTGAGTGTATTGTACAGGATGAAGCCCCTCTTTTCTATAACGTCTCTGTTCTACTTTTTCTTCTCTCTCTCTCAAAGGCCTAAGCCATTAGTCTGGCGATACTGGAGGCCATTAGGAGTAATATGGTCAAATTCATCAGCCTTGTGCTTTCATTACCTGTGTGTTTATCACCTGAACAATCGATCTCTACTCTCACCCCATGTCATTTAACAGCTTTCCCAACCAATCAAGCCCTAAAGGGAAACTTTAAACGGGCCACCAGACAAAGAAAAACATGCTGCAGTGCAGACAAGTGACTCGAAAACATTTAATTCACTTTAAAGTGTTGTCCAAATTGTTCTGGTACCAGAGAAGATCACAGATGGTCAGAATTATTATGACCACGACTTAGCATACCCACCCACACTAAGCTTTTCTTACAAAAGTATGTGATTTGGAGTTTTAACTCCTTTTTGATTATTGTCATTTTAGGAAACTGATTGTGTTTCGTTGTATTTTGTACACATTGTTTTAATTGCACTCTTGCCATTTGACAAATTGAATATGCGAGCCCTTTGCGGAAGACACCTGCTGTATAGTAAAGGTTAATGAATGTCAGATCAGGAAGTCGCACAGCTGTAAAACGACAGATACAAAATGAACCGATGGACAAATCTACCTTTGTGTTATAGCACATACGCTTCAAGCTTATTCAGTAGATGTGATGTCAAAATAGCTGCTATTTTATTCCCAAAAGGGGGGAATTGGGGAGAATGTCACTTTGTGTTGTTCAAAGCTTTGGTTCGAGGCCCTTTCCTCTGAAACTGAGAATTATTTTTTGAAGCATCATAAGACGTGGGGAGCAGAGAGACAAGTCTTAAATTGTTTTTCAGTGAAATGTGTGTGGTTGTCTGAAGCAGCAGGCAGTCATAATGATTTCCAAAGGGCCTCATCGAAGGGACCAGCC